ATATGTCATGGGTGAACTATTGAGTAGATAATTTGCATGCCTCTGTAGTGCGGGTTATGTCTACATCCCTTCTTACTAACACCTTTCCTTGGCTTTCACAACAAAGCCAAATCAAAATAAAGTTAAGAACAAAACAAGATGACACCAAAAAAGGGAGGAATGAGAAGTCCTTTCCTTACACATACTGTTCAGCATTAGCTGCCAAGTTTACCCAATGAGGCAAAACAATCCTGACTCATACCCAGCTGCCTGGGATATGGGGGAGGAATGTGGTCAGACCATTAGAATTGCATTAAACTACCATTAAAAGATTTCCAACCACTGGGAAATGACCCCTCTCTTAATGTTGGCCTTCTGGGTCTATACGCTCTACACCAAGGCTCTCTTTTTCAAGACAGTGCCTTCTAGAAAAAGTCAAAAATGTTCAACTTTTCCTTCTACCCATGGTCCAATCCTCTTTTTCCATTCCCGTGTCATACTAATATTTTAGAACAAGAGGGAAGGGCCCTACAGAGGCTTGGAAAAGCACACTCAGACTGTGGTGAGTTGGCTCTGTGGCAAAAAGAGGAAACATTTGGAGAGAGTTTGATTGGTTCAGCTATTTTGGAGATTTGTCATTAATTATGCCCCCTCCCCAGAAGCAGTATCTTACCTACAACCTCCTGGGTTTGGCCCTATGTGGTTCTTTTGTCCAAGAGAAGAGCTATAACTAGCATTTTTGTGTACCTAGGGCAAGTAACACAGAATGTCTCCAGTACAATTTCAGATGAACAAGGTTGGTGGAGGGATGGCCCCCATGACAGAGATCCCTGGACATCTATAAAATGAGGAAGTTGCTATCTGGAGTAGATGGAAGAGGGTGGACCATGGAGGAATGCAGGAGGGCAGCCTGAGGGGAGAAGTTTCCTGTTTTAGCTAATTGTTCTGGCTAAGTCATTGCTAAGCTCATTTGTTTCTACAATGCCGAAGGACTGCAAATGTTTTTCAATGCCATCCAAATTTTGGCACATTGAAGAAAAGCACTAATCAGACTTCTATCTAATGGCATCCTATCTTACTTTGTGAATGTACTGGCTCTACTCCCCATCCCATTATTTCTCCCTTTCTTCCCCTTATGTCTTCTCTTACCTCCCAGGCCAGACGTGGAGAAAGTCTTCAGCTCAGTATGACAGAAGAAAGACAAAACATACCTTTATAAGTAAAGGAAAAGAAGACCAAGCTTAAGAGCATCACAGTAGGTGATGACCTGATAAAATTAGAAATGTTCAACCATTGTATATAAGCAAATGAAAACTTTAGTTTTCTCATCTGTAAATGAGAAGGAAAATTAATAAGTATTTATATAGTGCCTACCAGGTGCTGCACTGTGCTAAGTGCTCTTTGAAATAGGTGCCATTATGATTCCTGTTTTACAGTTGAGATAACTGAAATAGAGGTTAAATGACTTGTATAGGGTCTCACAGATAGTAGAACTCCAGAGTTGAACTCTCATCTTCCTGAGCCCAGTCCCAGTTCTCTATCCACTGTCTCTTGTCAAGTCATTTTTCAGTCACGTCCTACTCTTTCTCACCCCATTTATTGTTTTTGTGGCAAAGATACTGGAGTGGTTTACCATTTCCTTCTCCAGTTCATTTTAAAGATGAGGAAACTGAGGCAAAGAGGGTTGAGTGACTTTCCCAGGATCACACAGCTAAGTGTCTGAGGCCAAATTTGAACTCAGGAGTATGCATCTTCCTGACTCTAGGCCCAGTGTTCTATCCACTGTACCTCCGAGCTGCCCCACTGTACCACTAGCTGCCTCTACGAGAGAATAACAAGTACTTGTATTTTCTACTTCACTGAGTTATAGCTTCCTAAATCTCAAAGAACTATAAATAGGTGATGTTTCTAATGGGATTTTTTAAACAAGACTTATAATTTACATGAATTTCAATCAAGAAAACTCCATCCACCAATACAGGTTAGTTCCTGCTTTGCAGCTTATATCCTTTATAGCCTGATGGTACTGAGAAGTTAGGGAATTTGTCCAAGGTCACCCAGACAGTATATGTCAGAGATAGGATAGAACTCAGATCTTCCTTTTCATCTCATGGGCCTGGCACACAGTAGGCACTTAATAAATGCTGTTGATTGACTGATTCCTGATTCAGAGGCCAATTCTCTGCTACACCACAGTGCATCGCATGGAACTCTTCTCAAGTCAATGCATCCGCATTATCATAGAGAAGAAAATCCATGGTGGAAGATATGATCTCTGCCTTCCAATGTTTGAAGAGTTGTCATGTAAAAATAGTGATTAGACTTCTGTTACTCTGGTCCCAGAGTGGACAGCTAAGACTAATGGGTGGAAGCTACAAGGAGGCAGATGCCTAACAAATTTGAGGAAGTGCCTCTTCACAGAGATATTTAAATATGGAATGGGCTGCCTCAGAAGATAGCAAATTCCCTGTTGCTGAAGGTCTTCAAATAGCATTTGGATGGTCATTTTGTTGTTGTGAGGTCTTCAAATAACAGTTGGATGGCCATTTGTTGTTGTAAAGAGATGAGCTATCCAAAGCTTAGATTCCAAGGTTCTTCTATATAGTTCCATGGTTTTTCTATGACCCCTCTAGAACCTAGGATATGGCCCTTGATAAGAATCCAGCAAAATACAATCTGCTTACCATACCTCTTGACCATACCTCCAAAATGGGGGCTTAACATTTCTACCCCTGGAGCTATGTAAGTTAAGTAAACACGTCCTTTGAATTACCAGTAAATTGCCCTTTGAGTTCCTATCTAGGCAATATCTAGGTGTTCCTAGCATTCAATATGTGCAATAACTACAGAGTTTTCATTGCTTTTATTCTAGTTGCTAGAATATAAACATTCACTTGCCCTTCAATGAGTTTCATTCTTCCTAGGAGAAAAAGGGAAGAAGAAAGATAGACAGTGAGCAAGCCACAGAGGGGCAGTTTTTATTGCCATAGTGGATGGGTTATTCCAAGATGATGGTGGCTGAGATAGCAGCAATGATAGAGTCTCAGGGCCAGCTAACGTGGGTCTTAACTACTACAACCACCTGCCACAGAACAGCATGAATGGCACTGATCCTCTCTAAGAGTAGCTTTTTCTATCAAAGTCAAAGGTTTCACAACAGAACAACATAATTTTCTTTATCTTTAACCTGTTCCTAGAATCACATGCCACTAAGATTATATTACCATCAAAGAGACAATGTGATTTAGTGGAAAGAACACTGGTATTGGAGTCAGTTAAGGCAGCTGGGGGCTCAGTGGACAGAACACCAGGCCTGGAGTCAGGAAGACCTGAGTTCAAATCCAGCTTCACATATTTACTAGCTATGTGACCCTGTATAAGTTACTTGACTGAGTTTGCCTAAGTTTCCTCATCTGTAAAGTGAGCTGGAGAAGGAAATGGCAAACCACTCCAATATCTTTGCCACAAAAACCCAAAATGGGGTCAGAAAGAGTCAGACATGACTGAAACAACTGAACAACAGCAACATTGGAATCAGAAGACCTGAGTTCAAGTCACAGTGCTTCCATTTACTAGTTTTATGACTCTGAGCAAGTTATTTCTAATCAGACCCAGGTGTGATAGAGAAATTGGGGGTAGGGCTGGAGGTCACTTATTGATATCAAGTTTAGATGAGGCTCAGGAAGAGGGAGTTTCTTTACAGAAACAAGAAATTAGAAGAGGGCTTGAGTTGGCTAGCTGAGGCACCAGAAGGGGAAGGGCTCAGAGCCTGCTGCAGTCAGCTGGGAGTTTTATAGGATCAGAAGCTCTGACATTAACTATTTGAGACAGAGTTAAATTAGGTCACAACAGAGGAAAAATATAAAACTGTCTGCTCTTTTTCTATACATTTTGTGGGCATTAGGACCACTTAGTCTAAGTAACTCCATCTTGGAATCCTATCGTTGTAACTACAACATCAAACAATATAAAAATTACAATTATCACAGATTGATTAGTTAATATGAATGGGTGTAGTAACGAGATAGTTGGTGTGAATTACCATGTGTATTTGTTGGAGTGTTTTCCAGCATGGATCATCAGGTATTTGGGGCTTCTATATACACATCACTGGAAGATCATGGCACAATTTGCTTGCCTGGAGAAGTTCATCTGTATTGTATACCAGTTTCACAATGGCATGCTTGCATGAGTTCTGCATAACGGATGATATTCTTGTACTTTCCCAGTAACCAATGGAATGAAGCAAGACTGTATGCTTGCTCCTATGCTTTTTAGCATGATGTTTTCAGCAATGTTATCAGATACTTTCAACAAGGATGAAAATGGCATCAAAGTCAGATACTACACTGACAGCAAATTATTTAGCTTGAAAAGGCTACAACTGCCCCTTCACTACCTGAGGCCCTATGTTAAATCACTCCACTGTGGTCAACAATGGTCCCTACCCAGCTCCACCTAACAGCCATTCTGGCATCCATTCAGTCTGATCCTGCCTTTGGCATCTTAAGGAATTATGGATCAGTAGCTGGAAGAAAGCCACTAGAAAAGGAGAGGGGACCTCAGCTAGGAGAGGGAAGGGCCTGGGTTATCCAAACTCCTATTGCAGCCAGAGCATCTTGGAGGGAGACTAAATTGCTGTTTCTGCTGTATTGCTTTGTTTAGTTAAAAGAAAATCAAAATCCTCAGCTTTAAGGCCAATGCAAGGCAGTTGTATAGTTTCTGTTCTTATCCCCTGACTGTCCAGATGTTACCTATTAAACCTTGTAAACAAGAAAAAAAAAAAGAAAAGGCTACAAGCCAAGACTAAAGTGAAGGGAGAGTTGGTACATGACCTTTAGTTCACAGATAATTGTGTACTCCATGCAGCTTCTGAGGATGAGATGCAACAGAGTATGGATTGATTCTCTGCCACTTATGTGAATTTTTAACCTGACAACACCAAGAAAACAGAGGTTCTCCATCAGACAGCACTTCACCATTTTGAATGCTATGGATAATGAGTTCACTTACCTTAGCCGTGAACTTTCCAGCGATGTACACACAGATGATGAGGTTGACACATGCATTGTCAGAGCTAGCTTAGTGTTTGGAAGGCTCTGAAGGAAAATGTGGGAGAAAAGAGGTATTAGGCTGCCTACTAAGCTAGAGGTCTACAGAGCTTTTGTGCTAAATTTATTGTGGTATGCCTATGAAACCTGGACAGTCTACTAGCGCCATACCAGGAAACTGAATCTCTTCCATTCAAATTGTCTTAGAAAGATTTTGAAAATAACACTAAGGTCCTTTCTTGAACTGAACTGCCAAGCATTCAAACTCTATGGCAGGGAGTGCAACTCCACTGGGCCACCCACTTTGTTTGAATGACAAATATACATTTGCCTAAAAAGCTATTTTACAGAGAACTTACACCAAGCAAGTGCTCACATAGAGGCCAGAAGAACTAATACAAGGACACTCTCAATGTCTCTCTGAAGAACTTTGGAATCAATCATGCAACATAGGAGACACTGGCACAGGACCACCCAGCATGGCATGTCTGCATCAAAGAAAGTGATGTGCTCTATGATCAGAGAATTACAGTAGCTCAAAAGAAATGTGAGATGCACAAATTTAGAGACATCTCCACTCCAAAGTTCATAGGGATTATTTGTGCCTAGCCTGTGGTAGAGCCCTCCGAGCTTATATCAGTCTAGTCAGTCAAACGCCAACAGGTGAAGTCATTTTGGTCCTCTCCTGGCACAAAGGACGACAACCAATACATATCACTAGAGGGTTTGGAGTAACTTATGCCTCATAGGGTAATCAGGAATTAGGTTGCATTTGAAAGTAGGTACCTAGCCTATGCCAGAGCAACAAGATCCTGTATACACTAGGTCTTGGTGACAAGCCTCATCAGGCAACTTAGTATTCTGAGACCATGAAGATAAAGCCCTGGCATAAAAGAGATACCTGATTAACCCTATCCGGATTCCTCAATAGTCTTACACAAGAAAGAGAGCACCTGAGGGAAGGAGGGAGGGAGGGAGGGAAGGAAAAGGAAACAGGGGAAACAGTCATAGGATCATAAATTTAGAACTAGAAGAGATTGTAGAGGTCATCTAGTCCAACTCCTTCATTTTACAGATGAGGAAACTGAGGCCCAAAGAGGTTAAGTTACATACAGAGCAAGTAGCAGAACCAGGATTTGAACTCAGGTTCTCTGATTCCAGATCTATGCTCTGTCTATCCTATGAACAGACCCAGAGCATGAGACTATGTTTGTGTGGTGAATGAAGAACTGAAAATTATTATATAAATGCGAGCTATATATTGGCCATAAAATAAAACTTACGAAGAAAAGAGAAACCTTAATCCCTTACTCCTGTCACAAAATCTCTTTGTAAGGTGTTTTTCAGTGGTCTTTTATGGTTGATTGGCACATAACCAAGAATGAAATGGGACCTGCAGTACAATTTAATATTATTGACTATGTAATTATTGGACTAATTATTACCCAGCAGTTGGATTCCCTTCAATCCCTAAGTCTCAATGAAATTTAATCACCTGTAGATGTGGTAATTATATCTCTAGTATTAGAGCTGAACAGGACTAATTAATAAACATGTCAGCCCGGTGACATGAGGTAAAGACAAGGGGAAGGATATTGTGCTCTTTTTCTACTGTGTGGCAGGCTACTTGTACTGGAAAGATTTTTTTTTTCATTTCGAAAGAACAATGGTGATTCTTTGCCCCACCTGAGACACTCCTTTGGCAGTTGTCTTCAAGTCTAATATAGGACCTTGCTTTCCACAGGGGAAATTCTCAATAAATATTTAAATACAATTACATTTAATAGAATGTAAGTTCTTGGAGGTCAGGAATTATTTTCTTCCTGTTAGCCTCAGCATGGTGCCTTTAGGCATTTTATAAGTCCTTGTTGAATTGAATTGATAAATTTCCCAGAAAAGGGGAAAGGAAAAAGAGAGTAAGATCTCATTTCTCAGCACATCTTTGGTAACAGGACATTAAAGTTCACTTTGTTTTAAAGAGATGCTAAAATGTTATTTTCTTCTTAGCGATTATGTATTTTATGGGTTTTAATGAGTATTAAATCATCTGAAAGTTGAAAGTACCTTTTATTGAACTATAGTGATGGTCCTACCAACTGTTAATCCTCAGTGAATGTTGCAAACACCAGAGAAAATGGAGCCAAGTTTTGCTATGCATTTCACAGCAGTAGAAACCAAGTCAACCTGCTACAAAATGGGATGTAAGGATGCCCCTGAAGCCTGTGACATTTTGATATCTGATTTTCCACAGAAGGCTTGCCTTAATGTTCCTGCCATGTATGAGGAAAAATAACAACATAGGCCACCAGCTCTTCCAAAGAATAATGTATGCTGTAAAAATCAGACCAGTGAGCTCCCAAGCAAAAAAAAGAGGTCCCAAACCAGAGAGATCATTTTGCTGCCTAGAGGGCTTATGAGGTCAGAAATAGGAAAAAGCTTTTATGAGGATGGAGGAGGGGCTTCCCATCACTATACTTTTCATACTTGGAGTAGATGAAACTAATGACCAATGGATAATAACTACAGGGGCAGAATCTGAACCCTGGTCTTCCAGACTCCAAGTCCTACATTCTTTGCATGACACTGCTATAAATTAAAAGAAATATATGATATCAGAATAACTAGAGAACATTTACTACAAGTAGACTCTAAGATGGGGAGGAGTAAATGGTTTCTTCAAACAGAAATAAAAGAGAGGAGACCAGAAGTATGGTCAATACAGTACTGGACTTGTAGCCAGAAAAAAAACTGAGTTAGAATCATGCCTTTGACACTTACTAGCTGTGCGACACTGGGTAAGTCACTTAACCTCTGTCAGCCTCAGTTTCTTTACCCTGTAAAATGAAGATAATAATAGCACCTATCTCACAAAGTTGTTATGAGGATCACATGAGATGGTATATATAAAGCACCCTACAAACCTTAACACACTATATAAATGTTAGCTATCAATTATTGATTTGATGACTCCAGGGACTGAGTTGGCTGTATGAATGAATACTAATTGCCAACTTCATCTAAGAGATACTCTAGGGTAAATCAACAATCTCAAGGGTTGCCACAAAAATTCTCAAAATGAGATTAATTTTAAGTCAATTCTAATTAAAAATATGTATGTGACACAAATACATTGGGAATGGAGAGGGTTGGGGGAGTGCTGTGACATCAAATAAACAGGAAGATGTCAATTCCAAAAAAGTTGGAAATTAATGTCTTAAAGTAGTTTATTATTGTTATTTTTTTAAATAAATCAATGGGAAGAATCCCAAACACTTTCATCAAGAAATAAAATAGTAATGATAAGTCTGGGGGGTGGGGGAGAAAAGGAAAGAAAAACTAGTATAAATGCAACCTGTCCTGAGAAGGACCATTAAGGAATTACACACCTCATGCTGTGGTCAGTCAGGTGGAAGGCTACTTTAAGACAACACAGTGATAAATAAGTGAGGCTTAGACCAAATTTACTGCTCTGAAATAGAGCAGCTGCCTGAGGGCAAAGCCTTCCACTAACCATTTCACAGAATGTTCACTCAACCTATTATATTTTTCTTTTGGATTCAACTGTAGACACTTGATTGGAACAATCGAAAACCCATCAGATCTTTCCACAGGGATGCAAGAAAGATATCTAAGTATAAATTAGAGGAAAAAGGCAGAACTCCAAGCATACCTTCTCAATTTCTAGGAAAAGCAATACTATTTTGGTCTGAACCTGTGATTTCATTGGTGTAGGGAGTCCCTGGTAGAGAACCTCTCTCTGCCAATATCTGCTTAGCAAATTACATAGTCTTAGAGAGTTGTGTGGGGCACTGAGAGGTTAAGTAACTTGCCCATGGTCATACAGCCAATGCGTTACAGCCATGACTTGAACCCAGATCTTTCTGACTCTGTGGCCAGTTCTCTCCCCACTACACTGCACTGCCTCTCCTACTCCAAATCATTTAAACACTAAGGCATGTTTTCCACAATCATTATCAGCCTAAACCAGCTTTGTTTCATATGGGGCTGTGGGAGAATTTCTTGAGGAGGACTCTGAGTGTTCTTTCAGACAGGAAGGCATAAGGCTTAGTCAACAATATTGGTTCAATGATTATCTACATTTTTGATCCTAGTTTCTGAAAAAGGGTAATCACAAAGTTCCCCAGATCTGGGCTTAAAAAAGGAAAATGGACCAAATCTCACCTCAGTAAGCTGTTCAAATGTTTATTATAGACTCATAGAATGCTTGAACAAAAAGGGACCTTAGAAATTATTTGATCCATTATACTAATGACAAAACTGAGACTAAAAGAGGTCAAGCAATCTGCTCGAGGTCACACAGGAATTTAGAACAAAAGCAGGTCCAAACCCCTTATTTTACAGTTGAGGAAACTGAGACAGGTGATTTACCCATCATCACACAGCTAGTAAGTGTTTAAGAGAAGATTTGAACTGATGTCTAGACTCATTCCAGGCTCATTAAGCCACCTAACTACCCCATACATTAGTTCAAAAAGAGGAAGAAATAATTTCTTAAAGTCATATCTCACTGTGTCTTGAATCCTGAAAACATGGTGGAACACCGTAATTGGAACCATAATCTGGAACCCAGATTATGTCAATGTACATTGACATTTAGATAACTGTAATATCAGAAGATCTGAGTTTGTATCTTTACTCTACTATCAGCTATCTGAGTAGGCTTAGATAAAATATTTCTGCTCTCAGGGCCTCAGTTTCCTCAGCTGTAAAATGGAGGTTTGGGCTAAATCTTATCATCCTAAATAGTAGGACATGAAGTTAAAGAAATCATTGAGCTTATGTGCTACACATTATGAGGAGGCAGGAGAGAGCTTCACTAATGATGCTAGTTTTCAGTTCCTTTGTCCCTGTGACATCTTTAAGCCCCAAAGAGAATTTAAAGGGTGATAAAGAGTCTCCCAACCTTTCCTACAATGTTTATTTGCTAGAGGTGGAAAATTAGTGGAGGGAGTTATGGGGAAGTAGGTCTCTAGCAGATGTGACGTTTCAAATAGGGAACTGAGGAAGGGATTTATTTCATAAATGTCGTCTCTTTTTCTCAATATACTGAAAAGCATCAAAGGATTCTCTGAGAGATCAAAGCTTCCCCTCACTTTTCAGACCCTCCTAAGAGGAGACCTCCACCTCACCAAATTACCCTTCAATTAGCTCCACAATCATTATATGAAAGTGTCAATGAAAACAATTTTATTCAGGCTCCTGTATAATCATTTCTTCCTCTCCTGTCTGGGCTGCTCATGGGGCCAAGAAATATTTTATTTCTGATGTCTTATAATTGAGCAGGCAGGCACTTCTGGGAGTTTTCTTCCCCTCCACTTGCAATATAGGAAATGGTAGTCTGTCCTAGCAGGAATAACTGGCTGGTTAGAAATTCTATGTAAATACACAGGGATGTTCAGGAGACCATTCCCCTATTTTGATCTTTAAATAGGGGGAGGAGATCATCAAAATACTTCTCAATAAGTTCAACATCACTTCCTCCCTTGCAGCATAAACTTCTATCCTTTCAACCTTCTCCAGTTAACCCATATCTCCTTTCTCTTTTCTTCCAAAATCCCCAGAACTCTTCTGATAACCCAGATTTCTAGAGGTCGGATGAGAAAGCAAAGTTATGTACTTCTGGTTTAAATGGGATGCAGAGGCAAAGGAAACCAAAGCCAGGGAGCTTTCCTTCAGTCCACAAGCAGCATTAACATATGTTTTTCCTTCATTTGACTTTAATTTCCTCCCCATGGTTGGGTTTATCTGAGCCTTTTTTATTCCTTATCCTTTGCAAGCTCTCTTCTCTGCCACTTACATTCAGGTAGCATCCTCCTGTGCCACGTGCTTCCCTGATGACAAACACATCTGCTCTTCACGTGACGCTAAGCCTGCCTGAAACAAGAAGCAATGTCATTATAAGCAGATTTATTCCAAACAAGACATAATTATTTCATTCACTGCTGCACAGCTGGAAGGGCTGCCTCCTAATTACTCCTTTACCAGCAAGCCTCTCAAGGGGGAATCTTTGCAATTCTCTCTTCTGCTTGATACACTACAGGTCAGAAGCACAATTTAATTGATTAAAAAAAAAACAAAGTCTCTTTGACCACACACCCTTGATGACTATTTATTCTGTGTGATTTTGTTCCCCAAGTTTTGTCTGGGCACTCAAACATGAGAAAATCTTGAGCTGACACAACAGGAAACTATTAATTGGAATGTCTTTTCTATAGAAAGTTTAAATTACGCCACTTAGGGTTTTTTGCAGCAAAGTCTAAGCAGAGGCTCTTAACCTGAAGTGTATGTGCATGTGTGTATATATATGTACATACATGTATATGTGTATATATGCATATAACCTATACAATATATATATATACACACATCTATGTATGTATAGATATTTATATCTGTGTATCTATATGTTTACATGTGTGTATACATATATATACATGTAGGGGCATTTTGTTTCCTTTGTAATCTCTTTTATTTTATTTTACATATTTAAAAACATGACTCTAAGAAGGAATCCATAGGCTTCATCATACTGCCAAAAGTGTCCATGACCCAAAAAGGTTACGAAATCCTGGTCCAAAGGATAAACGCTGGGGTCAGTGAAGGCACTGGATGGGTAGTCAGGAAGCCTGTAATTTATTTCCCTCTCAGAAGACAAGGAATTACTCTGAGACATTGATCAAAGCAGCTAATCTCTTTCCACATCAGTTTCTAGTCCATAAAATCTAGGAAATAATTTTTAGCCCCTAGGGATGTTTTTGTTTGTTGAGCACCTGGAAGTCTAGAGACTGAAAGAAAGGTGTCAATAAAAAAAATGTCATTATTGACTGCCTGGGAACTTCTACACAGGTTTCGGTTTTATTTGGACTGTGATTGCAGAATAGGGGTGCTCTATTTTCCCCATGGTGTCTCCTCCTAAAAATTACATGGAACAACTTTTAGGGAAGCTTTCTTATTGCCCATACAACAGTCCCCAAAGAGTCTCTTGTTGTTTGTTAATAGTAAGAATAACTTATACCCCATATGTCTTACCTTCCCCCATTAGAATATAAGTTCCTTGAGATCAGAGACCATCTTGCTTGCTTAGACTTTTATCCCCAGCACTTAGCACTGTGCCTGGCACAGCTAATTGCATTATCTATCATCTCTATGGATTATTTCTATCTAGGGACTTCTACAGATGTAAATCATAGCACATCTTTGTATCAGTAAAAGACTTAATGAGTTACCATGGAACAAAAAAACAACTACCTTAAAGTAAATCCTGTGGTAATGAGCCTTTCTCTATGTTTAGCCAGGACAGTGTTGAAATGACATATATACAGTCCATAGCTGGACCCCCATTTGAATTCTTTCCAGCTTGGAAGGAAGCGTCTACTGACATGACCTTTGAGGACCCAAGATCCTCTCCATGAGGAGGTGAGGCACTGATACAAGACTTGAGTCAAACATTAACGTATAAAGAATTAAATGTCAATATATCTGCATGTAGAGAGACTGAGCTTTTTCACTTCTCAAAATAGATCATCAAAGAAATTATGGTTTGCTGCTGAAGATATGCATATCACAGACATAAATGAGGGCTAGGTGGCTAAAAAATACTTACTTTGCCTCCTTGGCTTAAAAACCTTTTTTTTATTCAAATCTGTTTACACACTGGAGGGGAGCTCGGAGGTATCTGACCATAAGCGAAATCATTATCTGTAACAGCATGCCTGCATCTGATCTGCTCCCAGGGATCAGAAAGGAAAGACTCTGTTTGGAGATGCTCTGCTTCTCCAGGAGATTTTGTTAGCTGCATATAGTGACTATGACTATAGAATGCTAGTGGCCTGCCTTGATCAGGAAGGGGTTCTAGCCATCATATACTAAGCGAAGATGACTTAAGCTACTTGGGAGAGATGAGACAATAAGATATTATCAGGTAGCAAAGGTCAACAGAAACTATATGCCCTGTAGCTATCAGAGTGACTCTTAACTGAGTCTGTGAACCAGTAGAGAAACATGCCCAAGAGACTACAAGACTGGCTGAGAAATGACCACCTGCAGAGCAATCACCATGGGACAAGTGCTGTAAGAAGACAAGATTTGTAGGAGGCAGACTATACTGCCAGCTCTATCAATTGTAAGGCTAAATGTAAAGGGCCTGCTCTCTCCTGCCCTGATATGCCAACTGCAGGGACAAAAACCCTCCAAGAGAATACTGAAATACCAGAGAAAGAGTGGCCCATGCCAACTTGCTTATATAAGTGTAGGTTTATTAGAATTAATTGGGTTAGTTGGGTTGTTTAAGGAAATTTACTCCCAGGACCCAGTCCTTGGTGGCAGGAGGGCAGAATGGTGGATCCCCACACAAACTCTAGGTCAGGCCAGGCATCATATAGAAACAGAACAAAGAAGGCATATTGCCAGGTATGGCCTAGAGTCACATGCAAGTGTTCCCATGAGATAGTTGGAGCTTCTTTTGCTGTTTACATTTACTCAAGGTAGTTTGCATTTTTCTGTTAAGTCACAGGTCTTGTTCCTACTCTGGCTATCATCATACAAGCACAGAGAAGACTATGGGAACAACTGTGACCATAAGACCATCAGAATCTAGTGAAGTACCCAACAGGTAGTCCATTGAGCAGACTAGTGACATCACCAGATGATATCAATGGCCCTGCAGCATCAGAGGCATGAGTTGCCTTTCCACACGGATGGTCCCCTCTTTCGTGATACTTATGCATGCTCATGTTCCCCACTGATGGTGGGATCCATATTTATGGAGAGTAGGTTGTAGGTATAAAGATGAGGGAGAAATGTTTTACTGCAACGCTTTTTACCATCCTATTTCATCAAATGGCTCTGCTTTGGAGTAATTATGTTCTCTGAACTATCATTTTAAGTAGATGTGGACCAGGGATGTGCTGGTAAATGTTTAACATCCAGCTCTTCAAAAAAAAGGCAAAATTCACTTAAGGTTAAATCTGCATTATTATTTTCTCTGCCATTTTCTTAAATCTAGACAATCAACAAAATAATAATTCAAGCTTGATTTGTAGACTTGCCAATTTCTGAGGTGCATACATGCACACTGAAAAATTTAACTACCAGTTCTTAAGAGCCAGAAGAGCTGCCTTCCCACATAGTACCTAAAATAGCTGTTCTGAAAGTCCCACATTTTTCTTAAAGCAGTGTTCAGCCCAAGTGCCTTTCTTTAGGATTGACCATTGCTGATTGAGAGAACAATAGCCAGCCTCTGGAAACATGTTTTGAAAAAATGAATGAGCCCAGAGTTTAACAGAGCAGCTAGATGGTGCAACAAATAGAGTGCTGGGCCTGGAGTAAGGAAGCCCTGAGTTCAAATGTGACTTCAGACACTTTTCTACTGTATAACCCTGGACAAGTCACTAAACCCTGTTTGCCTCAGATTCCTCATCTGTAAAATGAGCTGGAGAAGGAAATGGCAAACCACTCCAGAATCTTTGCCAAGAAAACCTCAAAATGGGGTCATGAAATGCCAGGCACGATTGAAACAAATAAACAAGACAACAGACTTTAAGAACTAAAAGGGATCTCAAGAGAACATGATGGGCAGCTGGGTGGTGTGGTGAACAGAGCACTGGCCCTGGAGTCAGGAGGACCTGAGTTCAAATCCAGCCTCAGACACTTGACACTTACTAGCTGTGCGACCCTAGGCAAGTCACTTAACCCTATTGCCTAGCAAAAAACAAACAAAAAAAAAAAGGGAGAGAGAACATCAGTTCAATAAGAATTTGTTTAACATTTGACCAATGGAAATACAAAGACAAAAAAAAAAACATTCTTTGCCTTCAAAGACCTTGTGTTCTCCTGGGTAGCAGAGGGGAATATAGCATCACACAAATAGGTTACACAAGATAATTAGAAGAAAGAAGAAGTATGAAGGAAGGACCTTTTTATTTCCTCAAAGTCTTGATATCCCTGGTGTTGTTTGGAGGGAGCTGTTGATGGAGAAATACTTCAGTGAAAATGGTGAAAGGACCCTATTCCTGACTGTGTTAATCTGTCTTCTGGAAATCCCAGTAAAAGGTGTGAAGGCACAGGGGTAGGGAGCCTGGGAGAGGTGAAGCAGCTAGTTTAGTGACCTACCGGATATAGTTATGAGCTTTACTCCCAGTCTCCTCAGCGGAGACTCCTGACCTGAACCGACTAAGGCACAGAGCACTCAAATAATTTACCTAGAGTGTCACAGTCAGGAAGCAGAAATCTGGGACTATAACCCAGCTTTCAACTCATGCTCCAATGGTTTTTTTTTTTGCTTTGTTTTTGCTTCTGGTTTTTTAATGACACTATCACTCTTAATAATTACTTCTCCCATAGAATCCTCCCATATGACAAGAAGAAACAGTTAAGCTGAACACAGTATCACATCAACCACATCAGATTGTATATACAATATTCCACATCTGTAGTCACCACCTCCTTATCAAGAAGAAAAAATGTTTCATCATCATTCTTCTGTAATTAAGGTTAGTCATGCTATTAATATGAATTCTGACATCTTTTTGTGTTATTTCCCTCTCCAAAGTTCTTTCCACTAACCTCATTGCTTCTTATCCTTTTAAGTTTTTATTTTTTAGGAGCAGGAGACCATTTTAGAGTCAGAAATAGACTTTCCATATAACAAAATCTTGGTACCTTGCTAGGTAAAAAACACCTTACATCATTTGTCTCTCAGTATTCAGCTAAGGCCTAAATTATATCTATCTGCTCTTCAGTGCTTTTCACAGTTCTTAAGCAATGTACTCTCCATTTCATCCCCAGACTGTGAAATGCTAATAAATGTTTGCTGATTTAATTGCATTAGCTCTCCAGACCCCATATTGATCTGTCTTCATTGCATTCATTTAAAT